AAAAACAAAGACATCAGCTTCACAAATTGAAGTTTCAGGAAAGAAAATATCTTCTTGGGTTAATGAAATTTCTTTCACTAGATTTCTTTTTTCGTTCAGTTGCCAGATGACTCTTTCATTTTTAAGTCTTCAGTAATAAAAACATGTGTTTATTTACCCCTTTTCAGATAGATGCTGTCCAAAAGTTAGCACTACAATGGAAAAATCGGCTACTTCAGTTGAAAGCTTTAAATGCATCAACAAAAGCAGCTTTGGTAAGTGTTCACAAATGGCAACATGTCTGTGTGCCTGATGTAATTTTTTTATGAAGTAATTTACACTGATGTTTTTTACAAAGACCTCAGAGCTGGGGTAATTGTCATGTGCCACCTGGGCATCTTCTCTGACTCTGGAAATGAGTGAATTGCAGGTGGTATAATAAACCCCTTCAGTTAACTGGGAAAAAATGTATAGCTATGGTTCCATGTTAGCGAGGCAGCAGCTGATCCCAGCTTTGGAACACTCATTGCAAGCCACATGAGAGCAACCAGAGCTTAAGTTTGGGATCTGGTCGTGTGCATGACCAGGAAAAGGCCAATTCCCACTGCACCTTTTTTCCCATGTGCTGATGCTGCTGTTGACTCTTCCAAGACAGAATCAGCAGGCTGGAGCAGAATTGCTCTCCAGGAAACCTTAGGATAAATGGAGCATTTGGCCAATGCCAGAAATGAGAGACAGGCAGGAGAGAAGCCCTTTGGGTAACAGTGGAAGATAGAAATGAGTCATTGGTCCTGGGGAGGTGACAAACACTTGTGAAGGAGAGATGGCTTTTCAGAAGCAAAGAGTTCAAGCCCCTATGAAATAAATAATCAGGGAGACAGAGGAAGTGTCTCTATTTGAGTGCAGTGTGCATGAAGTGCAGTAAAGGTTGAGTGATACGATGCCAGCCCTTGGTCTGCTCAGTGCTGAAGGTGGGCAAGCAGGATTTGGGCTTTACCACAGGAGATGGGATGTGCCAGGGAGACAGAAGAGAGTGAGTCAGAGCTGTGCCTTAAATGCAGCTACAGAGCACAAACTGGAATAGTAAGAGGTGAGAAAAAGAGCTCCCAGAGATGATCAGGTCAGTGACTGACAGGCAAAAATGGATCAGTTGGGACAGATTTGTGTTTCTGGAGGCTTTTACAGAGAAGAGCATGTGTGGCCTTAAAGCAACTTAAAGCACTGCAAGAACAGGCAGTTGTGAGGAGTGATCACTGTCCAGCACGGTCTGAGACTGATTACGTAGGACTGGGCAGCTCTATTTTCCTTTCAAATAGTTACTGAGATAGAGTTCCTTGTTTTGGAATCTAGTTTTCTTGTATGTCTCTGGAATTTTTTCAGCTCTCTGCTTTCAAGGCCATGGGCACTCAACCTGTACCTGCCTTTGGAATGGGAGGACAGCAAACCTCAAGCTTTGGGCTGTCAAGTAAGTTCCTGTTCTAAGACCCAAAACATTTGAACCTTTTCTGTAGTTTGCTGCTGCTGCTGCTGCATCTTTGAAAAACAGCAGTGGTTTAGTGTCCCTGG